GGGCGGCCTGCGCCCCCGCGCGCCGCCCGCCCCCGGGGCCGGGGGGGGCGGGGGGGGGGGCGCGGGGGGGGGGGGGGAGCCGCGAACCTCGAACTGAAAACTTACACTCATTATTTTCTTCGAAACCATACGTGAGTTCCACAATAGAAGCATTGAATCTATTGATGTCTATGAGCAATGTAAAAGACATACTTTTATCATAGTTGTATTTTAGGATATGAACAATGAAAAGTTTCGATTTTGGACTTCGAAAATGAGTTTTCCTTAAGGTAGACTACATCATTCAGATAAAAATAGAAGATTTCGAAAGTGTAAATGAATATAATATTTAAAAATATTTTAATTTAGATGCATCAATCAATACAAAAACGAATAATAATATAGAAAGTCATTCAGTGAATGATACTGTTCAAACATTAATTGATTTAGTATATGTTAATGGTCTTATTCAAAATGAAAATATCAAAGAAGGATATTTTCTTTCAATCGATGATAATGTAAAGCCTGAACATAATCGATCATCATCATCATCATTAATAAAACCTCGAGCTATTTCATTGAAAGAACAACCAATGGTACATCGTTTAATATTTCCAGAACGTCTTGGTCGGATGATATTTTATCGTCGAATATTATCTGATTCTGATATTTATCAAAAAAATTGTTCAAAAGATAATGAAATCTATCATAATGTCTATCATCTAGATACAATACGTGATTATTCAATGGAATATTATATGTTAACAAGTTATGCTTCAGATTCTGAATTACGTGCTTGGATTGATAGTAATGATGATGAAATAGTAGAGAGTATATGTCGTATTGATAAAAATTGTTTGGAACAAAATGATGATGATAAAATAAATGAAAATCAAATGAAAACTATTCATAGTCAAGATAGTCTCAATCAAGAAGAAGAACTTCATTGGGATTCCGAACTTGAAATAATTCATTCATTATTAAAGAGTCAACAGGTACAACAAAACAAAAAGAGAAAAATGATTTAATATAATGGAAATTTTTCTTTTAAGGAAAATCATGAAAATACATCGAGTTGTTCCAGTGATGTTCATGTCGAAGAATTATTACACGATGAACAGGTTAGTTATATTTTTTTTTTAATAAAAATATTGTAATGTTCTTTCGAAATTATTTTTGAGAGAAATAAATAAAATAATTCTCTATTCTATTTACAGTTTCCTCTATCAAGTCTAACAACGATTACGTCAGCTGTTTCATCTGATTCAACTGATATAATTCCGTCTTCATCAATTTCACCAAGAGATAGTCCTATTAGGCTTCATTCAACTTCTCTGCCCTCCAGTATCACTAATGAAACTAATTCATTACTTCAAGATATTTTTCCTGCTTTATGTACACTTCCTTCATCATCCAGTATCATTGAACAGCAAATAAATAACGATCAATATGAAAATGATTCAGCATCATCGATAATAACTGAAGAATTTCAACCTGATTTTTATTATTTATGTCCAGTGACAAATACAACAAATTTTTCAATAACTGATTATAAAACTTTATTTCATGATTTTTAAAATAATGTTTAATGCCAGATATATTGTTATATCTATATTTTTTATTAGTCTTCTATTCTTTTTGTTTGTTATTAAATAGAACTAACAAGAAAATCAAACGGTTGATTATGTATTATTTCCAAGTAATTGATCAAGTAAATCTAAAACAAAACAAATCTAATCAAAATAAAATTGATTTTTAATAAAAAAAAATTTACGCTCAATATCAATTTTTTTTTCTTCATCATTTAAACCTAATTGAATAAGATCATCAATGTCATCATCCGATAAAGGTTCGCCAAGTGTACGCATTATCTCTCGAAACTTTTCAATATCAATATATCCTTCTTTTGTATGATCGAATTTCGCTAATGCTTTATGAAGCGTATTTCGATCATTATTTACCGATGTCCATGGTTCCTCAAGTATTTCTATGAAATCTTCAAATGTTAATTCGAATTTCTCTTAAAAAAATATTTGTATAAATATCAAATAGAAAGTTTTTTTTCTTTTTTGTGTTTCTACCATCTTCTTCCAGTGCTTGAATTCGTCTATTACAATCCATTTGTGATGGGTTTTTACCAAATGTTTGTAATACTTCTAATAAGCGATTAGCATGAATAGTATCAAGTTCAGGATTATCTTTAAATTTTGAAAATAGTCCATTCTTTAGTTCTTTAAAGAAAAAAAAAGAAGCAAAATCGATTATTAATTAAACAAATTTTTTGATAAACAAGAAAAATCATACGTAAATCCTCACTGATTCCATCATTAGGAAAATCTTCATCAAACCGTGAACTGTCTTCATCAGCCTTTAAAATATATTCATTTTTGGTTGCATACAATTTTTTTTTTTTTAGTTGTACTTCCTTACCATTTGTTCGTCGATTTTATGTGAATGGAAGTGACATTGTATTTGTTGCTAAAGACGTCAAAGAAAAGTTTTTTTTTTATTCTTACTTCATCACTGTCACCAACGACTGTTGCTTAGACGCTTTTTTTTGTTCTTTCTTTAAAATCATAACAAAAGAGTTAAAAGAACAGAATAATATACTAGAAAATTAATAACAAGAAACCTCATTATAAATTAATCCAAATTAAAGTGATTAGTTTTATTGAAAAAAGATACAAAATATTATTCTATTTGTTTTTCAAGGGTCTCTTTTCAGAAAAATCTTATGAAACTTAACATCTATTCATACATTATTAAAGTTAATCTTAAGAAGAGAATAAAATTCAATGAAATCAACAGTTCATAATGTTTTCAATTAGATAATCATCACACAGTTGATATCGTATTATAATACAATTTTTTATCTAATTTAGATGATTGCCCCAGAATTAATGCTCCTTAAAGTGTTCTCTCAATAAACCAATCAGTGTTTATCACCAAGTTGTAATCTTTCGTTTTGTAAAAAGATTCACGATGCAAGCCTCTATCAGACAGAATCACAGTTTTTGATACCTAAAATGCTAAGAGGAAATTCGATCCCCTTTCTGAGGTATCTCGAAATTTCTAGATGCTTCCTTCAGACAGATTCTAGAGCTACAAAAGGTCAAAAGCAGCCAGAAGTTCGCACTCCGTTACCGAAACACTCTAAACTTCATTTTTTCGAGTAGCACGTTTTTTTATGACAATTTCAAAAAACGTGTTTTTAATGATAATAATTTCTTAAAGGCTGCCGAATTTGGTTGAAACAATATTTTAAAGAAAGAAACTATGCATCTCAATCTGATCGAAATATTTCCCAGAAAAACATTTTGAGCCCGATCAAACGTACTGTATGGAAGAAAACGGGGAAAGCTTCATTTTCTTTGTTCAAAAATTAATTTTGAGAAAAATGCAAAACAAAATTTTCTATATATATCCTAAATTTTTTTCTCTAACTAAAGTGAATAAATACTAATCATGTTCATCGATGTTAGAGGTTCATGATCCATGCTCTCAGTACTTTCGAAATAAACAATAATCATTATCATTAGGAGATTTAACAGTTAAATTTAATAAAAGTATTAACGAACAACGAAAAGCACTAATTTATTTGGCATTGAACAGTGGACATTTCGAACCTATATTAGAAATGAAAAACTAAAAATCTAAAAAATATTTTGATGTTACCGTCTGGAAAGGGAAGGCCCCTTGAGCAGAAAAATTGGATAAATCACACTGCGAGGTTACGACATGTTCTACTTTCAAAAGTTAGTTTCTTGAACAATTCAGTATTTTTTTTCTAACTTTCTACAAAATATGATGAAACGACAGAGTACATTTAAGAGTATCATTAATTGCGTTCTTTCTCATGATGTACAGAGAAATTTATTCCAACGAAATATTTTAATGCAAATATTTCTGTATTAAAATTGAGCCAAAAACGCATAAAACTTTGCTTAGTTTATTTAATCTCCCAAAATAGAGAGCGCTATTTAAATTCTATCATTTCAGTCCAATACATCATTCATTTTTCTTGAAATCGAAAGAAAGAATGAGTTAGCTTATACGAATCTTTTTTGAATATCGAAAAATTAGTGATTCAAAAGCGTTATTTTTGTAAATAGAGCTTTTTAACACTCGAAAAGAATAAAACACAAAGCAAAGAAAATGAGTCTCAACTAGAATTCGAATACAGGTAGTATTCTAACTGGTAGCTAGCCAGACACTTGGTCAATTAACCTATCGAAACACAATCGTCTTAACTTAGATTCAAATTTACTGTGAATATTTATTTTAATTGTTTTGAATGATCTTATGAATAGAGGCTTCGTTATACGAATATAAAATCTAATCGATCTCTACAATTGAGGATTTAAAAATATGCCTGTCTATTGCCGTTGAATTAAATCATATATAATTATATATAAAACTGTACATGGTAGAACTTTTCAAATTCATTTTTCGAATAAAAAGAGTGTAGAATGGCTATTATTTATTACTCGAAAAGATTAAAATAAATGTTTATATTGGATTTGAATTTAATTTAAGACTGTCTTGATATCTTAGGTGGTAAAAGTGTCTGGCTAGTTACCAGTTGTGATACTACCTGTGTTCACACACCTGTCGAGACTCATTCTCTTTTCGAATAATGAATAAAAGACTCCTGTCATATATATTTACACATGGAGAAAATCTTCCTGTGGGAAGAAAATTCTCGTATTTGATATTGCAGTTCTATCAAATTTGAGTTTTGATGAAAACGAGGCACTACTAACACAGTAAATAATGATGACTATTTTAAACATACCAACCTAGTTTAGTATGTGTTGGTATGCAAATCAAAAGGGAACAAACTGATTTCAATATTTGAAATTATTTGAAATCATGATTATCAGTTTGTTCCCCTTGCAGCTAACTGGATACCCGGCCCGCCTGGGTTGGTGCACCCCAATCTTTCAGAGAGCACTCTATATCTTATGCATTTTATCATACATGGAATTTCTAGTGATAGATACATCAAGTATAAGCAAATTGTGCAAGAAATCTGCTGCTTCCATTATACTCACTATTTCACACTTTACTCAAAAAAATAGAATGTACTATGCACATTCTGCTCAATAAAGTAACATTGTGTCTAAAAGATGGATGAATTTTTTGAATCAGAAAATAGTAAATGTAATTTTTCTATGATCTAACGAGGGAACCTCTTCAGGTGTTAAATCGGTTTTCGCTCAGGACCATTGTTATTCGATTGGTCCTAGTGAGCAGTGAAAAAGTCTATCTTGGTTTGGGTGCATGGGTCTCTGGGACTGAGCTATTGAATTTTTAGTGAGTTTTTCCTACAGGACCCCAGTTTTCCAGCAAATATATTTTTTCGAATTTTGACCTGAAACCTTGCCCACACGAAGACCTCAACTAAACTAGCTTCCATAAAAAATTTCAGAACTTTTGAACAAAGTCTCTCTAAGATATGAATTTTCCAAAAGATGCATGTTTTATACACTGTCTATGGAAAAGCGCCTATATCGTGAAAAATGTATATCTCGGAGAGACTTTGTTCAAAAGTTCTGAAATTTTTTATGGAAGCTAGTTTAGTTGAGGTCTTCATGTGGACAAAGTTTCAGGTTAAAATTCGAAAAAATTTATTTGCTAGAAAACTGGGGTCCTGTAGGGAAAATTCACTAAAAATTCAATAGCTCAGTCGCAGAGGCCCATGTACCCAAACTAAGATAGACTTTTTCCCTGCTCACTAGGACCTATCGAATGGCAATGGTCCTGAGCGAAAACCGATTTAACACCTGGAGAGGTTCCCTCGTAAGGATACTTTTCTTCTATCATCCAATCTTTCTTTGATTATATTAGAAAAAAAAAACAATATCTTTCCCGCTCGCCTTATTATTTAATGGGTGTAGAAATCAATAGAATCCCTCTTGTTATGTAACAATTATTAATGAAATCGAAATATCTTACCTCATCAAGATGACAAATATCTTTCCATAAATCATGTACTTTATTTTCATATGTAGGAAGAATATTTTGTTCTTTTATATGATTGCCTCCAAAATTAAAATCACCAATAAGTATATAATTATTTGTTTTCATTTAAAAAAAAAAAATTTTCTAAAGCTTGACAACGTTTTTCACTTGAATCACGTGAATGATCGCTATGTAAATGAAGATTAACAAAATCAATTGTTATTTTACTATTTAAATCAAATCGAGCTATGATTAATTATTTTGTGGTTGTTTTATCATCTGGAATATCAAGTGGACATATTGAAAATGATCTAGGTCGAAATTTTTTCATAATCATTAATTATCTATATGATTTATCTTCATTACTATTAACAACATTTTTCATGATAATAATATAATAATTATTTTTTTTTAACCATATTTCATTTAAAAGAAGATTAAGAAAACTAACAGTTACTTCTTGTAAACAAATAATATCAGGTAAAAGAGTGTGGATGTGGATTTATTTACATAAGAATGATCCAAAGTATCATACGATGCATTTCAACTATTGCTCAAATAGTCTTGATCATGTATGTTCTGAATCTCATACGATATGAATGTAACTGAAAGTTATATAAGTAAAACCTGAAATATTGAAATATTATCGTTATGAAAGTCAAAGCAGACTAATAACATGAATATTTTTTAAAAGGTTTAAAAAGATATACAGGATGTCCAGAAAGTAAAAAACCAAGAAAAGTTTGAATACATATCTTCGCCATATTGTGACCAAATGAGTTTATACTTTTACCACTAATAAAGAAGTATGCATAGTACATATTGATAAGGGAAACATTGTCAAAAATTGTTTTGAAATAATACAACTAACTTCAACAAAAAGTTGTGACTTTTCACGAGTTATGAAAAACCAATATTGAAGTTTTATCAATAGCTGAAACTTTCAGAGTACACTGAGTAATAAGATATGTATCTGTAGTATAAGTATGAGACCAAATGACACTAATGTGAAGAATTAGTCGAAAGATTCCTTGTCGTTTATTCGTGGCTAAGAGAATAAACATATTGTTCTTTTTTCATAACTCGAAAAATATCACAGTTTCTTTGTATAGTTATTTATACTATTTTAGAACAATTTTTTAAGATATCTCTCTTATGAATATGAGCTATGCATACTCCTTTATCAGTGGTAAAAATATCAGCTCATTTGGTGAAAGAATGGTGGAAATATGTATTCAAACTTTTGTTTGTTTTGTTACCTGCTGGACACACTGTATATCAAACTGTTAGATTATATATAAATCGTAGTAATTCTTATACAATTGGGCGTGCCTATATAAGAGTGTGGGTATGACGAAAGAATAGACCAACCCATACATATACAGCCATTTACACCTACATCGTACACACCCACATCCCTAATCATCTTAGTGATAATAGATATAATATTGAGTTTTGATAATCAACTGGCAATCCCATTAACAAATGACAGTCATCATTATGTGTTGAGATGTTTTTAACCTAATATAATGTAATAATTGAGGTAGAAGATAAATCCTTGATATCGAACGTTTTTTTTTGTTCGAGATATGATTCATTGTTTAACTTGTTTCGTTTTCACATTTTAGCAAATGATCATGAATCGATGTATGTTTCAGATTTAAATTTGTTTTAGTTGATGACATTCATTCATATAACTAATAATTAAATTTATTTATTTATACCTTGTTGTCTGATAACCTATCCCGTTTTACTAACGACTTAGTATCCGATATCACTTGTTGTGATTTTGGTTTGACAATAAGTTAGTCAGGCCCCAGTTAAATAAAAATGTATTTTCTGGACAAATGAAACAGAATGAATAGTTTATTGAGGAAAAAAAACAGAACTAATAATACATTATGAAAAAAAGAAAAAGTCTAGAAGGATCTCTACTTTGTTAAAAGACAAAGAGAGTGTGGGTGTATCGCTTGGCTATACCGAAACCTACACCCCACTCTCAAGATAGTCGTTGAATTTTATTGAATAACACGAGTGGTTAAAGGTTTAACAATGATTCTTGTGCCTTCTTGAGGATGAACCCTTGTTTTTATTCTAAATGAACGCATAAATTGTCCGCGAAAACCATGATTTGAAATCATCGATACATAAAAACCAGTCGCAGCAAATAGATAGGAAAATAGACGAATGATGTTAGCAATTACTTGTTCCCAAGCCTGTCGTATACTTGATTTAGTCCACTCGCCAGCGATGTTGAAATAAAGAACTGCAGCTCCAAAGGGAATATATGCAATAATCGCAATGAGTGATTGCAGAAATAGCATAAGTGTCAGCTGTGAGTCGATCTGTTGAAGATGCGAGAGATTTGTACTAGGTTCTTTTGAAGCAACACTACTAGGTATCAGATGTCGTTTCATGACGCTTCGAACACTTTGTGAAAGCAGAAACGCAAGTACGATCACAACAAGAGGCGAAAATATTCCTGACAGGAATGCATCAAGATATGTATCAAAAAGAGCGTATAGACCTTCTTGAGCTGCACAATATCCATTTGAATTAGTGTAATATACTAATCGATGACCAAAGACTAGTAGCCATAAGAGTACGCATACCAGTACTAGTCTGTAAGCGAGAGAAACTCGATTGCTCCATTGTCGATATTCTGTAACATAAAAGAATGGTTTTTGATCTCTTACAAAGCTATGCTGATATTTAATTGAACACTCAGGATAACTTCTATATGAAACAAGAACTTTCAGTAGTATTTTCTCATTTAAACTGTTTTTCTGATGCTATGAACTTTGGCATTATTATCAAAATACCAACCAGGACTATCTAAAATTATTGAAATCACCCCAATATAGATGGAACCTACACCGGTCAGTCTAGCTAGATTTCATCTCTGCACTTCAACATCTTTTGGAAACTATGTGTAAAATAAATGTCATTTCTACTTTCAGCTGAGAGTTGAGAGAAAATTAGAACAGATTAATATCACAACACATTCCTGATTCTCCCACTTGCAATCTGAACGTAAAACCGTATACACATCTAGTATTCAAATGTTCATCTTAGATAGAGTATTGTTTTTGTAACTAATAGCACTTACTAATTGAACGTTGTGCTGATAAAAGACGATCAAGTGTAGCATATATAAAGAACGTGTGTCCAGTCTGATACATGTATCCTGAGATGAACTCTCGAAGCTTGCAAACCACATCATAATGTGCCATAATAGGAATTCGAAAACCGGATTGCAACACACGTGTAACGAGTATACAATTCAAAAAAAAGAAGTTGGCNTTCTATGTATTTTATTAGAAGACGCAGAATTAGGGACATTTTTCTGCTGGCTGACAGAATTAGGGAATTACACCCTAATTCTATCAATTGAAGTTCATTTTTGTAGACCGATTATTTCAACATGAAAATATGAGAAACAAAAGACCAAAAATATATCATTTGAAAGAGGAGAATCCAGAGAATCCAGATTTATAAAAATATTTGTGACCGGATGTAAAATGGTTTCGTACTGATAAAAATAAAAAATAAAAAAAAACTTTCCGCAGAATTAGGGAAATCGTCTGTACAAATTCCCATGAATCAAGTCAAAAGTTGAGTTTTCAAGTCAATAAATCACCGTAGTAGCGTGTAGTTTGTCGTTAATTACAATTGCTCAGCCCATATTATGAGATGCCGCAATCAGCTCGAAAATAAACTGAAGTTTTTCTGAAATGATGCTAAAATATCAATAATGTTGACTCAGAATTTCGCTGAAGACAAAAATAACTTGGAGTCGAGTTCCCTATAGAAAACATGGAGTTGGAATTACACATACTAAAAGTTGCCCATCTCTGTTGAAGCAATAATTAATGATCTTTTGTTAAAATATGGAAAGTTAGTACCTGTAGAGTGCAACTTTGCCAGTAAAATTCATTTTTCTCAGTGATAAAACAAAAGTTCTAAAAGCTTATACTAGATTTTGTTCTCCTTCGCGCAGTTAACTCTTTTGCAAGATTCTCGAATCAAGATAGTTACCGACGAACTTAGTTAAATTCATCGAATGTATTATCTGGTTTGGAAAATTAACTCAACTATGGTTAACTGACTCAATATTCGATGTTGAATCCCATTAAGTCAGCTCGAAAACTTTAGACTCTTATATGCCATCATCATCAATATGATAACTGTGATATTTATCACAGAGCGCAGGATAAGGATTTTCTTGCGTTCAGTTATATGTGACGTCATCGTATACATGACATAAAGTGAAAGAGAACGTGTACTACATCACACACTAAAACATGTCTACACAGCTAGCACTAGCGGTAGAATGTAACAGATCAAATGTTTCTTTCTTTCTCTTCACTCTCGCACAGAACGTAGATTTTATGGTATTCAAGAGGTTAGTCGATGGTAAACAGCCCGAATCCTGAGGGAATCACAGCTCTCGACACGGATTTTTCAAACTTTAAGCCCGGTGGCACTGAGATTTTCCGAAATTTTCGATTCTTAGCTCTCGCTTTTACAGTTAAAATTTCAGCCAAAAATAATGAGACTCTTTGCAATTGGGCAACTTTTTGTGTTCTATCGGAAAATTACCAAAGTTTCTTGTATTCTGAGATCAAGAGCCTAAGTTAATGTCAAAGTAATGTTGATTCATACGCACAATTCAGTCCTAACAAATTTTGGAACTTTTTTCCTTCGACCGTTTTCTACATGGAAATCAAATACAATTCTTGTAGACTTCCCAAAAATGGAAGTGAGTCGTTTGCAGTACTTTGGGATTATGTTGATAACAATCCGAGAAAACTCAACTTATCTAGTACCAAAATAATCAGCGCATTCTATTCTACAAATCGTGGAAGTTTCACGTGGTTCGGCAATAAGTGCCGGATGAACATTGGAATTTTACATAGATTTACCCTAATACGATAGAGTCCATTCTACATAGATTACTGAGCACAATAAGAAATCAAGAATCATTTGTTTTTTTAGATCGATTCCATGCTGTTCAATGTTTTGATCTCATTAAAAGATTAATATTCAACTTTCGATATAACACTTACATCTTTTATTCCTTACTCCCGACTCATTGTTATACTTGATGTACACATCCCTTGCATATGTTGTTGATAAAAAATGGAGAATACAAGTCACGAAAGCTATTGAATAGTGCATGTTGTAATACTTTCACTGCTGAAGAGTATAGTTCTAAAATAATCGCGATGGTAAAAGAGTCGTTTTTAAATACATAATTTTTAATACCGTAGAGTCGAACTTCAATGTGGAAATCCCAAAGAATAGATCAAACCTATTTCAACAGAAAACAAAATAATCTTACAAAGAAATAAATCAGGGTGTGGGTGTAGGTGTGGGTGCCTGCATGTGTACTCCTGTACCGCTCATGCACATTTTACTTCAGACCCCCACACACACTCTTATATTACCAAACGTGTGCCCGTACTTACATCCTTTGAGGTTTCGTATCGACTTACTGAACCTAAAAATGATCAGAAAACGATTTGCTAAACTTTTTTTAGGTTTCATAAATCGAAACGAAACCCTAAAGGATCTGAGCACGGGCACAGGTTTCATAATATACCTATTTCTTTTACAGTGTTGGGTGTCAATATTCTGGCACGATTCGTGTTTTGGTTATAGACTGCAAAAAGGCTGCTGATTAAGACGATATTTCATTTTATAAATGAATCATTAGTTTCATAGAAACGTTGCATTCACGCCGCCCCCATTCTTGATTTATTCTGATCAACGGCATAAATTAAATTAAGGAGTGTCACGATGCATATTGCTTCTATTCGTTATAGTTTCGTTCTCATTCGTATTAGATCAAGGTTATTGAATTCATGAGGGTGTGAATAAAATAACCATATATTCACTTGAGAATATATAACTATATGAAATGCATTATAAAGAAAGAAGTTTCATTATCAATTACTATAAATTTAACCACAGTTCGTTGGCATTGGATAGATATGTAGTCTTTTACTCTAAAGAAATGATTCGAAGAGAAACTATCACAGATTATGACTACAAATGAACAGGTCATCCTGTTCTTTTGATGCCAAACCTATGAAAAGCTTCGTTCTTTACTTCCGTCTGATGAGAAGTGTGCCAGAATAATTCATATCGCATCTAAAATATTTTTGCAATATTCTTTTTGCCGTATTTCACGGATGATTGACACTTTTGTGGATTATTTTCTTTGAATTATGTTCAGTTTCGTATGACTGGTTACATAATTTGCTTAAGTTCATTGAGAAATTTTCGGTAAGAGTTAGTGATGAATTTTGACAAAATTCTTTTCGCATAACTCTGCTTGTAAGATTTATCTGAGAACTTATTATCCAGACTAAAAGAGGACCGGTTTCACACATCCGCAATCCTGAGGTCTTCTATTTTGTATTGCAAAATATTAATCTGGTATGACAGTTGAAATGATTTATGATGGGCAAAGTACTTTACAAAAAAATATCAGAATTGAAGATATCATATAGTTTCAGATTCTAGTTTGGTTTGGCTGCGAGTGTGTGCGTATGTGGTGTGGATATGAGTATGGCATAGGAGTAACATCCATACCCACAACCAAATCCTTATTTAACCTATCTGTAAATTGAAAGTTCTAGAAAATTATCAGAGATGCTGGTGAAAAACTACTTTCAAATAATACAAAATGATGATACAAAATAATTTTCTTTGAAGGAATTCAAAGAAACATGACCTATAATTTGAAAATAAAATATATAGCAAGCAAATAGGTAACACTTGCAAATATTAGTTTCAGGATTTTCTTTCCCAGTAGCAAAACTCTAGAGATAAAAAAAGAGAGATATTGGACTTTTAGTACCATGATCATACATTTTCACTTTTTGTGAAATGCATTTTACTTCATCAACTAAAATGGTATATATGCCAAGAAAAAAATGAAGTTTCTATTACAATACAGTAGTTGCTATTGTGAAAGAACATATCATGACAATCGATGACCATTGTACACTGAGTGAATTACTGGATGCTTTATTGTGAAGATATGTCAGAAATCAACAGTGACAATAAAAAAATCGTTCATTTCTTCATGTTTTGATATAACTAATATTCGATGGTTAAAAAAGTAAAGTAATCAACTAGTGAAGCGAATTCATAGAAAAAATTGTCGAAGTTTGAAGTATTTTTAAGATGTGCAATATTTTCTGAGAAAAATCAGCCAACTGATTTTTATATGAAGAACGTAGAATGCAACTCATTAAATATACTGATAGTAATGAATATGAATATTCAACTATACTCGAAAAATCTCCAATCAACCAGATTATATTTAACGATATATTCTATTTAACATATTTTTCAGTTTGTTGATATTCTTTTCATTTTTGTTCAAATGATTCGAAACCGTTTG